ATTATCAAAAAAATCCTAAATTACAGCTTTAGCATAAAGTTAAACTAGTACAATTTTCACACTTGCTATCACATGAAGTACAAGTTCTATTAGAATCATTTTTAAACTTCCCAATCGGACATTCCGAAACACATAAAGAATTATCTAGAAAAAGTTTAAATTGCAACTTTAGCATAAAGTTGTGCTTGTACACGAAGAACAACTAACATCACATAAAGTACAAGTTTTATCAGAATCATTTTTAAATTTACCAATCGGGCATTGCTTAACGCAAAAAGAGTTATCTAGATAAAACAATTTATTGCAGCTTTAGCATATAGATAAACCTGTACATGAAGAACAACTACTATCACATGAAGTACAAGTTCTATTTAAATCATTTTTAAACTTCCCAATAGGACATTCTTAAATACAAATAGAGTTATCGAGATAAAATCCTTAATTGCAGCTTTAGCATAAAGTTGTACTTGTACACGAAGAACAACTAGTATCACATTAAATACAAGTTCTATCTGGATTATTTTTAAACTTCCCAATAGGACATTCTTAAATACAAGAAACATTTTCTAGATAAAATCCTTAATTGCAGCTTTAGCATAAAGATAAACTAGTACAATTTTCACACTTGCTATCACATGAAGTACAAGTTCTATTTGAATTATTTTTAAACTTCCCAATCGGACATTCCGAAACACATAAAGAGTTATCTAGAAAAAAGTTTAAATTGCAACTTTAGCATAAAGTTGTGCTTGTACACGAAGAACAACTAACATCACATAAAGTACAAGTTTTATCAGAATCATTTTTAAATTTTCCAATCGGACATTGTTAGGCACAAATAGAATTATCTAGATAAAACCCTAAATTACAGCTTTAGCATGAAGTTAAACTAGTACAATTTTCACATTTGCTATCACATGAAATACAAGTTCTATTAGAATCATTTTTAAATTTTCCAATTGGACATTGTTAGGCACAGATTGAATTATCTAGATAAAACCCTAAATTACAGCTTTAGCATGAAGTTAAACTAGTACAATTTTCACATTTACTATCACATGAAATACAAGTTCTATCAGAATCATTTTTAAATTTTCCAATTGGGCATTGTTAGGCACAAATTGAATTATCTAGATAAAACCCTAAATTACAGCTTTAGCATGAAGTTAAACTAGTACAATTTTCACATTTGCTATCACATGAAATACAAGTTCTATCAGAATCATTTTTAAATTTTCCAATTGGACATTGTTAGGCACAAATAGAATTATCTAGATAAAACCCTAAATTACAGCTTTAGCATGAAGTTAAACTAGTACAATTTTCACATTTGCTATCACAAGAAGTGCAAGTTCTATTAGAATCATTTTTAAATTTTCCAATCGGGCATTGTTAGGCACAAATTGAATTATCTAGATAAAACCCTAAATTACAGCTTTAGCATGAAGTTAAACTAGTACAATTTTCACATTTGCTATCACAAGAAGTGCAAGTTCTATTAGAATCATTTTTAAATTTTCCAATCGGGCATTGTTAGGCACAAATAGAATTATCTAGATAAAACCCTAAATTACAATTTGCACATGAAACTGCATTAACACATGCAGAACATCCATCTAAACAATAAAAAACTTAAAATGAAAATTCTCTAATTCCAAAAGATCCATTTGATGGATTTTCATCAGTTTTAGTTTATATTTTAATTTTTATATTTTATTGGTTATAATTTTATTAATAAAAAAATTGTTAATATTCTTCTCCAAATACTCCTTCAGCAGTACCTCCGCATATTTCTTAAGGACCGTTCGGAGTAGGTTTTTTTAATGTTTATATAACTTAATCATTTATTAAAATTGTTGCATAGTCGTTATAATCCCAAGAATCTATCAACATATATTTAAATTAAAATTATATTTTAAATATAGGGTTAGGTATATCAATTGAAATATAAATAAAACAAGTACCTCCGCATATATTATATCCACCTAAAAGTGATTATGATGCACAATTATATATCCATGTAGTGCCCTAAAATTAATTAAGAGTAAAACCGCAATCTTGAGCATTTTGTTAAGTAAAATACTGTGAGGTTAGGCATTATTTAAAAATTGTTTAAGGTCTTATTAATAGGATTAAATATATTTGTGCAAATATAATAAGATTATAGTAATTTTTTTAAATATAATTTTAAGTTTTAAACATTTTAAACATTTTTTTTATATTTTTTTGCTCTTATATTTAGTTTATAGATAACAATTTATTTTTATTAATTATATAAAATTTAATAAAAAAATATTGTTTAACGATTATTTGTTTAAAAAAAAATATATATTTTTATTTTTTGAAATATTTTAATTCAATTGGTTTTATTCTTTTAAATTTCGTTATTGATTTTATTTTGCTAATTACAATATAGTATATACGAAAAAATTGTTAATTATAAATCTAACGAAATATAATTATTTCAATTTAATGTTTCGTTAAGACATAAATTTTTGCATTTAAAATAAAAAAAGATTATTAAAGATAAATAATTTAACATTATATTTATAATAATAAATAAAAGATTTAAAATTATAAAATATATCATATTTATTATATTTATCTTAATATATACTTTTATTTATATTATTAAAAAGAAATTTAAATAAATTATTATTACTTTCTTATTTTAACAACATTTCTAACATTATTATTATCATATATTAATTAAATATATAAAATAATAATTTATTTATATACTAAATTGGATTAAATTTTTATATATTTAAATTCAATAAATTATTATAATAAAATATCATAAATATACTTTCTAAATTTAAATATATTTTTAATAAAAACATATTATATAAATAATTATAATTTTTTATTTATTTCTTTAAAAATTTGACAAATGCAAATATAAATATAAAAAATAATTAATATTTTATTTGAATTAATTTTATTCTTATTAAATTAATAAAAAAAAATGCTTAAAAATAAAATATATAAAAGATTCTAATAATATTATATAAATTTTATTATAATAAAATATTTGTAAAATTATATTATAATTTTTTATAATTTAAAATTTCATATTTAATTTTATTTCTTATTCAAAAATAAGTGTATTATAATTAAATATTAAGAAAAATAAAAATCTTTTATATTTTTTTTTTTAAAAAAGTTATGTAATTAATTTTTTTGAGTAAATTAAAAGAGAAAAAGAAATAAATATTCTAAAAAAAATAAAATAAAAAAAATATATAAATATAATATTTTATATTATTAATTTATTTTTATCATTTTTTTTTTATCAAATAAATATCTAATTATTTTTTATAATTATCTAAACGCTTTTCATAACTTCACATCATAAAATTTTAATAAGTTCTTCAAAATTTATTATTATTTTGTAATAATATCCATTAAAGTTTTTATTAATATTTATAAATTTATTGTTTCTATATTATATGTGTTTTTAATAAGGATTTATTTCTCTGTTATATACAATATTATGAGAGGAATCGCAGTAATTTTTAGTGCACCTTCCAAATTTCATATAAATAACACAGTTATTTATTTAAATATTATCATTCCTAACTTTTAATGTAGTTAGTCAGGAACTTAAATATATATTTCTAATAATTATTAATTTTATTATATTTTTTTATTAAATATTATTTTAAGTTTATAAATATTATTTCTCTATTTTTAATTATAATATAAATTTTTATTCTTTCATAATTTTATATTTTAGTTAATAAAACCATCCTATATCTATTTAAAATTGATTTTTAAAATATTATTATTTTAATTATTTAAATTCAGTAATTTTTAAAAAAATACTAAAATATTTTTATATTATTATACATTTATTAATAGTTTTAAACAATATTTTATTTATTTAAGTATAAAATTGCAAAAATGAATATTTTTGCTTTAATTTTATGACAATTTTTGGTTTTATAACTAATAATAATGTTAAAATAAAAAAATATATTTAATGATATACTTTATATTTAAATAAATACAAAGATATTAATGCTTTAAATATATAAAAAAAAATATTTGGAAATAAAAATAATTACAAATTAAAAGTTATAATGTTTTATTTTCAATATAAAAATATATCTTATTTTAAAATATTATTATTATTATTTTATTTTATTATAATTATAATTTATTAAATTTTATAATAATAATAATAATAATTATTATTATTATTATAATTATTATTATTATTATTATTATTATTATATTTAATAATTTTATATGTAAATATATTATTT